AAAACTATTTTATATGAGAATCTTTTAATTAGACAGTAAAGTGCAAGCAAAAACTGTTCAAGTCTAATTTTTATAATTTTTTACTTTATTACAAAGAAATGCGAATGAAGATTTGCCCTCCTTTTGCCCCATTTGGTTTCATTGAAAGATCTGCAACCGTTGTACCTATTACCGTTGTAATAGAAAGCTACATTTTCTTTCTTTAATACAGAATTTATTCTTATAACATAATTTGCTAAGTGTTACAGAAGATTATGAAAATGCCTTTTGAAAACGTATTTCCAATTTTAAGGAGTAAGGTTTTAATTAAGAAATCTATAAAAATGTAAGTTTTACTCTTTGTAGAGTTTCGCTTTGTGCCATTCGAATTCCCTGAGTAGTTCACCAGTTAGTTTCGATAATAACCAGAAGTCAAATATTAAATTCCAAGAAATTTCATCAATTATTTCCGTAGATATGGTAAAAAATTTAAAATCGATCTCTAGTTCGATTTCGGAGCCCTGATCTATCCAAAGAATTTATAGGTTCATTGTTTTAACTCCCCGAATTTAAACATTAAATTAGTCACTTATTTCTTTTAAACTGCGCAGAAATTTAAAACCGGTTCTCAAAAAAGACCAATTCCCGAATCTTGATATATCCTAAAAGTTAGTTGATCATTCAATGCCATTAGTTTATTTACACTTCCGTACCATGGAGATTCGACATTCGAATTCACATAACCTCCCTTATTGTATGCTAAGCGCTCGGTAATAACTATTAATAGGTTCAAAAAAAGAAAATGCTAATAAAACTAAAAAAAAAATAAATAAATGAATTATTTATTTAAAAAGTTTGGTGCTATAAGATAAGAAACAAAAGTAATTTCTAATATATCCTTGATCCTTCAATATTACATATCGTATATATTCAAATGAAATTAAAATAGGAAGCAAAATAAAAACAACAAAAAGAAAAAAATAAATTCTATTAACTTATTTAAGGTCAAACAATATTTTAAGTGGGTGGTTAGGGTTAATTTTCAATACTATTGTTGTTATTGTTTTATTAATGAAAAAAAAAAATTAATAAAAAAATTTTTTTAATATCTTAGAATCGTCATAGTTTTTATTGTGCATGTATGCTTGTGTGTGTAGAAAAGAATTAAGAAAATTTATATACAAACACATGTTTATTTTTCATATAATCAAAATTTTATTCTTATAGTTTATTTAATTATAGTTATTTTTATCGACCACATTCCATACAAATAAGGAAAGTGCTGTAATGGTACCAAATTTCGTACATCGAGTTTTCGGCGGAAATGCACTTTTTCATAATAGCGAAGTGTAAATAAACTATTTTTACAGAGATGTCTGTGCGAATTTTCCTAAAATTTTATCTATAAGCTTCTTCTGAAAATACGAGAAAGAAAAAGTTTCAAAGAAAAAGTGTAAACAATTGGACTTTCACTATGTGTCAAATATACATTCGTGCATTACATTCTTAAAATGTAATATTTGATTTCTAGTTGTTACCGAAACTAACTGTTAACCTTATCAGAGAGTTCCAGTGGCAAAATGTCTACTAAAAGAGAAATTTACATTTTTCTTGATATGTTAACTAAAAACATACTAGCGTTCTTAAAATTTGGAAGAAGTTTTTTAAGAGTTATTTTTATATTCTGGTGCAATATTTTCACTTAACTAGACAGTACACATTGCTGTCGGTTATGTCCTGACAATAGCAGATTTTTTATTTGCTTTAATTTTTATTAATATCAAAAATTTATAAAAAGGTTTAATCTAAAATAGTTACATAAATTTATTAATGCAAAAATATATGAGGGTTATTCTTTATAATATTTTGATATTTAAGAAAACAACTATAGATATTGTTCCTATTATATTGAAATAAAAGGTTGCTTTCCCCAAAAATTATCAATAGATCTTAATGAAAAATATAAAAGTAAACTTTTATAATCTTAAATAAAAAATTTTATATAAAGTTACATTTTCATTTTTGGATAAGGGTTTATTATTCTGCAAAATACTAGTATACTGGAATACAAAATATCTTTTTTTTTTAATTTATATAACGAGATTGATATTATTTTAAAAAGTATGTTATAAAATAATTTTGAAACTGGTATATATGGAATTAATCTAACAATTCAGCTGAATGGTAGTTACTATTGAAGGAATTTATACAACAACAACAAAACTTTATCACACTTTCATTGCCATAAAAGCCAGTTTGTATATTTAACTGTAAAGTGTACCGAGACGGTCCTTCTCTTCCAACAACGTTTTGTTATATACCCGTATAAAACCTGATAAATTTTTTAGAGTTGTCATTTAAATCTTTATTCTATAAAAAATTAGGAAATCAGTGAATGGAACTTTGATACAAAAATTACGTTTTGGCATTCGAGATTTTCTTTGAAATATTTTAAATTTGTCAAAAAAGATAAAAAAAGAATTAACTGTTTTAAAAAGAATTAACTAACAAAGTTTGTCAAGCAAATTTAGATGTCGGAAACTATGAATTTTAATTAGGAGTGGATCTTACTTTTTCGATCATGTCTGAGAAACAAATTGACGGGATTTCTTAAAATTTACTTTTTGAATTCTGTTAGCCAAAAACAAACTAGGTACCTAATGATTAACTTTTAAAGAATATCGGACTTAAGAACTTTATATATATTTGGACTTAGTTCGGAGATTCGGATATGGATCGGGTTGTTAAGAATCAAATATATTTAAAATTTTGAAATGCAAAGTGCATTTGAAAATTAAATTTTAATCGCTACAATATAAACAATATAAATTTTTCCATAAGCAATATGAATCAACATTTATGGGTATAAATAACTAGTATAAAAATATAATTGTAATTTTTATAAAGAATTTTGAAGTTCAAATTATTTATACATATTTTATATGTACATTTTTTTAATCAATAAGAATTTCATATTAAATTTTTTTATATAAAGAAAAATATTTTATCATTAAGAAAAGTTGAATGATCCAAGAGAAGAAAATAACTATTGAAGATATTTTAATTGCTTTAGTATTAATAGAAAAAGAAATCTTTGAGTATTTTTCAAAATATTCAATTTTTATGAACTTCTCAAGTATCTTGTTAATATTAAATTGTGTACGTTATGTACATATATACACTGTAATACATAAAGTGAAAATAAATATAAAATTTTTGTTTAATATTAAATTAAATTAAATACTAAAAGCTACGTTGTATATCTGTGATATTTAAGGCAAAAACAAATGAAATGGAAGCAAAATATCGAAACAATAGCTAGGTGTACCCATTGCTTTACGATATATATATATGTACGTACGTATTATCTAGGAGTTGCTATACATGAAAAGGTTTCCAAGTTAAAAAAAAAATATTTATAAATCAATTTCAATAGAAATATTGAAATTTAAGAAAAATACGACGAACACTAAATTCAACTATCAAACAAAATCGCGTTGGCACGTTTAAAATTTACTAGTTTTATTGAGTATAACAAGGAAATTCTTTTATATTTTATTAATTATTTTATACAAAGGAAATATTTTTTTCCTATTTATTCTTTAACAAAAGTTTTACTAGAATTTTTTAATTTTTTCTTAAAATTTTCAAGTTTTTCTCCTTTTTGAAAAAAAAAACAAATTTTGTATACAAGTACTTTTGTAAATTGTAGTAGAGTATTTACTCTACTCCTATTTAGGAGGAGTTTTTCTTAAGAGTGCAAAACTTTTTGCATAATTGATTTTTTTTTTAATAAATTCCAAAAATGAATTAATTAATAATTTATAATACAAGATTTTTTTTAATTTTTCTTTCTTATTCGGAAATATCTGGTGTTAAAGAATTCATTAGATTAAAGAGTAGTACAATTATATAAAATTATTATAATTTATAATAAAATTAATAAGCAATATCCGTCTGTGCTTTAATTTTGCAGAAATATCATGCAATGTGGCAAATGTTTTCAAGGCCTCGGGTAAAAAACTCAATAAATACTATAATGTGAACATAAGTTTTTAGTGTTCCATACAGCTCTTACTGTCTATTCGTCTGTATACCTTGAACAAATGTATGTAGCTTACTATCTTCGTTAGTAACCAAGAGTGGGGCTTCCAAGCCTTCCGGTCTCGAAAAATTCTAATATTCTAATTTGTCACAGTATTAGTAACTAGGTTGTATTGAATACTTTTTGTTTCAAATGTTCAGCTGATCTAGAGCAACTGCTTGTATTCTTATATACGTTGTTTATAACTGAGAAGTCGAAAAAAAAAAAATAAATAAGAAGTTTATAATAAGTCAATCAATATGAAATGTTAATTAAGAACAAAAAGCTTACTTGCATTTTAATTATGCTTAATAGTTAAAGTAACAGGAAAAGAAACATTTAAGTTGAAATTTTAATAAACTGAAACTGTTTCAGTTATTTTAATCGATATTTTAGTTTATAAAAGTTGAGTTACTCAAGAAAATTTAATTATTAATATGCCAAAACATCGAACACTAAAAAAAAAAATTAATTTATGAATTCAATGAACGTGACTTCGAATATTAATGAAATTATATAAAAAATAATTGTTATACAATTTTTCATTGTTACAACAATTGTTATACAAGTTGTTGTTATTCGTAAAAACTTGATTATTATTTAAAATGCGCGTTCCATTCAATCAGTTCAAATGTTTATTTAAAATATAAAACTGTTCTACAGTGATTAGAAACTTATTTCTAAATACTCAAAACTTTTAAATGAAATTTTCGATTTCGTTAATATTATAAGCTTCATTTTCATAAATTACAACATGAAGTTTAATGCATACATTCCAATTGCTTTATCTTATATTTTAATGAACACAGCAGAGGCAAAGTTTTTGTTCTTTTTTCAAATATTAATTTTTTTTTAATTTACCATTTTAATTAATAATTAAATAATTTATATCTTGCTACTCTAGTCCATAGGAAAACCAATAATGAGGATGTTTATAATGAAACAGGTAATTATACAACCTCTTCAAGAAAAACAACCAAATTTTGTGAATGAATTAGATGTTCATCACAAAATAAGTGGCGATACGATCTTATTGAATCAATCAACGAATTATGCGAAACTCTTGGATGCTCTACATAAAATAAACTATAATTTGAATAAACTAAGTGAATCAGAGAATATTGCGAAACTTCTGGATGTTCCGGATAAAATAAATAAAAATTCAAATTCACAAAGCATACCCGAGAATTTTCAAAATCTCTTAGACATTCTACGAATATTAAATACTACACTTAAAATGAATGGTAATTCAACTTCATTAAAACAATAAAAGAATTCTCCAAAAGCTTTCAATGTTTTACATAAAGTAAATGATAATAAATGAAACTGATGTAAGGATTTTTTGAATTTTTTTTAGACTTTCTGCAAGGTGCTTCAAAATCATTTTTGGAATCAGACGATTTTCGGGAACTATTAGAAGCCCCATCTAAAATGGATGGTGATTCAAATTCAATGGACCATTTAGAAAATATATTAGATATTCTAAATGAAGTAAATAATTTTTTAAATTTATTAATCCAATCAGAAGATTTTCCAAAATTGTTAGATGCTCTACGTGAAATAGATAGTGATTCCGATTTATTGACACAATTAAAGAATTTTTCAAATTTGTTTGAAGTAATGCTTAAGATAAATGAAAATTATTCAAAATCACTAAATCGATCAGAGAACTCACCGAAATTCTTAGATGATGAAATAAATGATGAATTCTTAGATGTTTCACAGAATATGAATGGTGCTTCAAAGTCATTAAGCCAATCAGATGATTTTCAAAAATTGTCAGCTGTTCCACGTAATATAAATAGTGATTCATTGAGCCAATTAAAAATGTTTTTAAAGTTGTTTGAAGTTTTACACGAAACAAATAGCAATTCAAATTCACTAAATCAATTAGATAATTCAACACAATTCTTAAATGCTTCAAAGAAAATAAAGGAATATTCAAATTCACCAAGTCAATCAGAGGATTTGCAGAAATCTATAGATATTCCGCAAGAAAAAAATAGTGATTCAAGATCATTAGCTGAATCAGAGGATTTTCCAAATATGTCAGGCAGCTTACGTAAAATAAATGATGATTCAAACTCAGTGAACCAATTAAAAAAATTTTCAAATTTATTTAATATTCTGCACAGAATCAATGAAAATTCAAATTCATTAAGCCGGTCAGAGAATTTACAGCAATATTTCAATGCTTCACAAAAAGTAAATAGGTATTCAAATTCACTCAATCAATTAGATAGTTCAACACAATTCTTAAATGCTTCAAAGAAAATAAAGGAATATTCAAATTCACCAAGTCAATCAGAGGATTTGCAGAAATCTATAGATATTCCGCAAGAAAAAAATAGTGATTCAAGATCATTAGCTGAATCAGAGGATTTTCCAAATATGTCAGGCAGCTTACGTAAAATAAATGATGATTCAAACTCAGTGAACCAATTAAAAAAATTTTCAAATTTATTTAATATTCTGCACAGAATCAATGAAAATTCAAATTCGTTAAGCCGATCAGAGGATTTACAGCAATATTTCAATGCTTCACAAAAAGTAAATAGGTATTCAAATTCACTAAATCAATTAAATAGTTCAGCACAATTCTTAAATGCTTCAAAGAAAATAAAGGAATATTCAAATTCACCAAGTCAATCAGAGGATTTGCAGAAATCTATAGATATTCCGCAAGAAAAAAATAGTGATTCAAGATCATTAGCTGAATCAGAGGATTTTCCAAATATGTCAGGCAGCTTACGTAAAATAAATGATGATTCAAACTCAGTGAACCAATTAAAAAAATTTTCAAATTTATTTAATATTCTGCACAGAATCAATGAAAATTCAAATTCGTTAAGCCGGTCAGAGAATTTACAGCAATATTTCAATGCTTCACAAAAAGTAAATAGGTATTCAAATTCACTCAATCAATTAAATAGTTCAACACAATTCTTAAATGCTTCAAAGAAAATAAAGGAATATTCAAATTCACTAAGTCAATCAGAGGATTTGCAGAAATCTATAGATATTCCGCAAGAAAAAAATAGTGATTCAAGATCATTAGCTGAATCAGAGGATTTTCCAAATATGTCAGGCAGCTTACGTAAAATAAATGATGATTCAAATTCAGTGAACCAATTAAAAAAATTTTCAAATTTATTTAATATTCTGCACAGAATCAATGAAAATTCAAATTCGTTAAGCCGGTCAGAGAATTTACAGCAATATTTCAATGCTTCACAAAAAGTAAATAGGTATTCAAATTCACTAAATCAATTAAATAGTTCAGCACAATTCTTAAATGCTTCAAAGAAAATAAAGGAATATTCAAATTCACCAAGTCAATCAGAGGATTTGCAGAAATCTATAGATATTCCGCAAGAAAAAAATAGTGATTCAAGATCATTAGCTGAATCAGAGGATTTTCCAAATATGTCAGGCAGCTTACGTAAAATAAATGATGATTCAAATTCAGTGAACCAATTAAAAAAATTTTCAAATTTATTTAATATTCTGCACAGAATCAATGAAAATTCAAATTCGTTAAGCCGGTCAGAGAATTTACAGCAATATTTTAATGCTTCACAAAAAGTAAATAGGTATTCAAATTCGCTAAGTCTATCAGAGAATTCGCGCAATTTCCTAGATATTCCACATGAAATAAATAGTAATAAGAATTCACTAAATCAATCAAACAATTTGTCAATATTTATAGATCTTCCAGTAAAAATTAACGATAATACAAATTCTTTAAGCAAATTTGAAAATTTTTCAAAACTGCCAAATGCTCAACATAAAATAAATGATGATTCAAATTCGTTGAGCCGATCGGGTACCTCAAATTTATCACAAAATACAATACGAAAATTTGATATGACAACATTAAATATAAAAGACATTATATCAAGAATTAAAGCACGCCCACCACAGATATCTTAAATAATTCATTAAGGACACAACATGAAATCATCGAAGTTGAAAATATATAGTGGATATTAAGTTTCAAATGAATTAAGCCGTGAAATAGCGTTACTTTTAATTAAATATATTAGTTAAAACTCTTTTAAAGTGTTTAATAATATTGTGATTTCTTTTTGAATTAATACAAAACCTTTTTAATATTAAAATATAAAATTTTATTTTATTTACAATTTTCTTTTTGTTTGTTTGCAAGTTGTTCTTCAAGTCGAAATTGTTAATTGTTATTTTCTTTTCAAAAATTTAAAATTACTTTTATTTTTAGCAAGTTGTGCAAATAGTAGATATTTTGTTACAATAAATGGGACAGAAGAACTGATAGAGAAAGTTTGTTTTCTAATGAAACTGTTCTTCTTTTTTGTTGACAATGATTATATTTTAAAATATATGAGAAAAGAGAGAAATCAATAATTTGGCCCCGAATTCAAGTTCGTTTTGACATACCGCAAATTCTTTAACGTCAAAATTTTGTTTTCAGTCTGCAAACTGTCTGACGTATAAAACTTTTACGGACAGAAATGTAGTAAACTTTTTACCCGTAATTGACTTTGAATTTTAATCATCCGTAAACGTCAAAACAAAAAAAAAATTTATTTTAGATTTAAAATAATTTTATACCTACATATGTATTAAAAATTAACAAAAAAAATATTTTTTATATTATTTTTAACGTAATGATAGTCACTCAATACATCAAATTTATTTACTGAATTACTACGTCAGACTGTCTGCATGTAAAAAAAAAATCTACAATTTTGACGCTTAATTGACTTTTTTTAAACGTTTAAGAATTTAAACTTTGACTGAAAGCAAAAACACAGTAGAGTATTCGTAAACTCAGACAACTCAGATTTTTTAAAATTTGACGTTTAAGAATTTACCAATAATGTATTGTGCCTTCAAAAGAAATTGCCAAAAAAGTTAAATAAAGTAAAAATATCTAGCATTTTATTTCAATTTAATTTTATTTATGTACAATTTAGTTAATTTAAATATTTTATTTCTACATATTTTTTAGAATAATTCCATAAATTTTTATGATGTGCATTCGTCTGAATAATCTATTGACTAGAATTTTTAACATGAAACGGCAATTCGTGTTTTAATCACCAACATTTAGTTACAAATTCATATTAATATAAAATGAAAAACGACTTGATTCATGATGCATAAAATTTCATTTTCTAAAGTTTGTTGTCAATTTAATAAAGAAAGTAAAGCCCGATATAAAACCATCACGAAGAACTTTACGAATGTTATCATTACGAATATGGTCTGAAATTTAGAATTATCTTAACTCGACTATTAAAAACTCGATATATTTCATGATGGAATTGATAAAACATCTAAACCCGATTTACCAGATAATTGTAGTACAGCTTTTACCATCGCAGCCAGCGTTAAAAATGAATTACCATTTATAATTTAAATAATATTTGGAGAATCTGTAGTATTAGTCATAGAAAGATTTGGAGGAGCTGATGTATTTGATATGGATGCTGACTGCTCATTTGAAGTTGAGTTGTCGGGAATTGACGGTATCTCATTTGGTTTATCTGGTGGAGTTACTGAATCTATAATAAGAAAAAAATCTATTAAAGTATTTGCCAAAAGATAAAATTTCATAGGGCGAAAAATATAGAAATTACCATTTGCATTATTTGTAACATTTAGAGAATCTGTAGTATTTGTCATAGAAAGATTTGGAGGAGCTGATGTATTTAACTTCGTTACTGGCTCCTTATTCAAATTTATATCTCCAGGAATTGATGTTGATACATTCGCTATGTTTGATGGTGTTGGCGAATCTGTAATAATCAGAGAATCATCAAATAAATTCAAAAAATCTAACGAATTCAGAATGTTATATATATTACCAAACGATATGTTTGACATCTTTAGCGAATTTGGAAGATTAGGCATAAAAAAGCTTGGTGAAATCCAATTTGCTAATGCTATAATTTCCAATTTTAATTTATTAAAAAAACTTTCGAATGCATTTCTAATGTCGTCTATAATATCATTTGCACTCACTGACTAATATCGTAAAAAATAAACTTTAAAAAAATATGATTATAAAAAGTAAAAAAAAAACTTACAGGTGTGCTTAATAAAAAACAAAATAAAGTCACATACAAGTGAATATATAAATTCATAGTTCTTTTTGTAAGAAGTTTCTTCGACAGTGTTAGCTTATAATTTAATTTACAAAAGTAAACATTTTAAGAAATATGTCTTCATATTTATACCAGAATTTTATATAATATTTATTTTTGAAATAAATTTTCAAGCCAATACGTGACTCTAAATACTAATGATGCTATTATGAATAATTATGAATTCGCCATATAATAGCAATTTCTCAACAAATTATGACATAATATCTATAAAACACTTACAGTAAATTTGATTGTGAACTTTATTTTACTTTTGTGACTGACAGCAGTATTAAGTTAGTTCTTACTATATTAGAAGCTCATTCTAAGGTAGTGGAACTGCAGCTCATTAGAATTAAAAAAGAATTTGAAAAAAAATCAATAATGCTTTTCATGTCGATCGATTTATTAACGTAAGGTATTGAGTTTTGTATAATTTGTAAGATTTCCCATTTTATTTAAATAGATAGTTTAATGTTTTAACGTGCAGTATTTTTATAATAAGGTGTTTGCGTAAAATTTTATACTATTTTCCATAAATTACTGATCCTGTTGGTTGGTTGGTTGGTTCGGCTGGTTCAGCTGGTTTGGCTGGTTCGACTGGTTCGTTTGTTTGTCCGGTGAGTTGATGAGTTGATTCGGTAGAAGAAAATGTTTTTGTATAATAATATGTACCTATCGTATATATAGATGAAAAATATGGAAGAGGAGTCCAATATGTTTCATCACTTTCATCATCACAACATTGGTTTTGATTTACAATAATTTGGAAATTATCATAATCAGCAATTGGAGCAGCCCATGTTACACAAATCTAAAGTTAATCAGTTATGATATTTTTTATTCTAAATAAAATTGCTGACAATTGCGATTTTTAATGACAAAATTTACCAAAACAAAAAAAGCTAAAAACGAAAAATATTTCATTTTGAATAATTTGTTTTAATTAGTATAACTGTTTTTAATTTAACAAATTCAGTGGGACTAAATTTTTCAATTAAACTACTTATATTTATATGTATACATACATAAGTATAATGTTTATTTGCGAATTTTAAATAAACAATAACAATATTAATGTCTGCTTGGAAAATATTTGCTTTTAATGTTTAATTTTTCACTCTCAAAAGAAAAAAGAAACTAAGGAGTCGCAGAAAACAGAAGTTATAGTCATTCGAAAAATATAAATTAATTCACAGGAACACGTGGAAATATATACTACAAAAGTAAGCTCCATGTTATGTATACAAAATTATTTATCAGTTATCATATACAGGTATTTATATATCACACTGTAAAAGGTGATGCAGCTTTATATATCACAAGTTTTTAGAGCATTATAAAACTGTGTTTCAGGGAATGGAAGGGTTTTGTAAAAATAAGTGTCAGAACACTATTTGGATTCGATGTTTTCGAGAGTTATCTCACTTTATCTCCGAAACAACATCACGGAAAGCAGATGCAAGACGAGTATAACATTATTCTAGATGCCTCTGTAAAAATAGTTGACGCTGACTTTTTTTTTGTTTGATGGAAAAAATAGAACTCCGATCGAACCCCTTCCAACAAAATATATTAAGTCTCTCCAATTACTCTTCGATTTAGATTTTCAATAATAAATCGCCACAAAAGGTTCCTTTCCATTGCAGAACCTTAATCTATTTCCGAACAACCAAACTCCAATAATTTGATAATTTACAAAAAGATTTTGAAAATTTTATTTTGAAAATTACATGAATATTTGATGTCTTATTTTAAATTTTTTTTATTGCTGGGCAGTATTTACATGATGTGTGTGTGTTTATATCAATTTAGTATTATTTCTCCATTAAAAATTTATCAATTCTATTTGTAATATGAGTAATAAGGTGGCTCGATGACATAATATGTTTCATCACTTTCTTCACAACATTGGTCTTGGTTTACAATAATTTGAAAGTTGTCATAATCTGCAGCTGGAGCAGCCCATGTAACGCAAATCTGAAATAATAAAGTTTTTTTTTTGGGTAAATTTTTTTTTTTTATTCATGTGGTAGATTTACCAAAGCAAATAGAGCAAAAAGCGCAAAATATTTCATTTTTAATAGTTTTTGTTTTAGTTAGAATAACTGTTTTTGTTTTTGATATTTTAAAAGAACTAAATTTTTAAATAAATTTTTGTTATTTATATACAATTTTTATTTATTAAATTTTTAACAAAAATAACGGAATTTATGGCATTAGTTTGTTTAAGAAATATTTGTTATTTATTTTTTTTCTCAAGTTTAAAAATAGTTAAAAAAAACCGGGACACTGCTGACGCAAGTTATAAACCAGTCGAAAAATATAATATTTACTTTGCAGAAAAATAAATCTGTACAAATACAACCAGTTCTATTATTATAACTCCGGTAGATTCCGACATACATTATACGAGAACATTTTCCTTACGTCTGCTCAATTGGTTTCTTCAAATTCATATAAAACAGCTATAAAAATTTAAGTAAAAAATCGAACATCAGTAAGATCATAGCAATAATTGCATATTTAACTTGTACAACTGAATAATAATGTGCGTCGGAGTTCGTAACGTATAAAAGATCTTTTTACCGACTGTGTTGTATACAAAAGGGACGTCATGTGTTGTACAAAATTTTGTATATCGAGTTTTCGATGGGAATTGCACTTCTCTGTGGTAGGGAAGCGTAAATAAAACATTTTTAGAGAGATTTTTGTCAATGGGCCTGTGTGTGTATGCCTGTATCTCAATTTCGGCTAAACCGGTTTTTATTAAACGTTATATAGTTTAATTCAGCTAAACCGGTT